TTTCCAAAGATTATTGTCTATCACGTTAACTTGAAAAGCATTTGGGTTACTTTCAGTCGTATTTCTTTTGAGAGTATGCCAATTTATATAGCGCTTGTTTGTTTTTAAGCCAATTAAATAGAGCTCTCTTATAAACTAGTCTGTAATACCATCCAGAGGTAGAAAAAGATTACATATTTATAACATGCATATATAGGCACACCCATGCAGACAAATGTCTTATAACCTCTGTTTTTAGATTTTCCAGCAAGGGTGCCTCCATAGCAGTCTGCTATGTCCACAAAAGCTTCTTTACCCCCTTTTTTTTCCTTCAGTCTTAGTGATGCAGGGTCGGTGAGCCAAGGAGTCAAAAGAAAGATTTCTTGGACTCACAAGATCTGGTAGTAGTGCTCTTTTATTTAGAGAATAGTGTGGAAAAGCACGTGGACAGGACCCATGGGCAGGAGGAGGTGCTGCTGCTGGCATGGGAATAGGACCCACGGGCAGTCAGAGCTGTTGCTGGCATGGGGAGGTGCTGCTGCTGCTGCTGCCGCTGCCCCGCTACTGCTGCCAACATGGGTGGAGAGTAAGGCTAAATTTAAGGCATAGGTATGTGAGCCATCTCTTTAGAAGACAAAGGAAAGAACATGTAAAAAATTTAAAATGGTATCAGTGCAGATGGGGTCTGGCCATTGGGTGGTCCCACAACTTTTAGATAAGAATCAAATCGGATTAAGTAAAGGCCAGAAGCCACCACCCTAAATCGGTTACCTGAGGTTGCCAGACAGTAACCAACTTAAGTTCTTGCCTTTGGCATTGATTAAGAGTTTCTAGAGATAAGGCCATCCCCCTTCTTTCTGGCACAGAGATGAGGCATCTCTACAGATAGAGGTTTCCCTTACAAATGTAAATGTTTCCCAACAAAGGGCAAGCAAACTCTGCTCCTCGGAGCCTGCTTCTCATCTGCAGTTTTAAAATTAACCAGCCTAAAATCCTCATCACTAGGAGTTGACAGTGGTCTAGATAACAGCTCCCAGAGAGGTTGCAAGCTTTTGGGCATAAACGGGAAGTTAGTTGCTTATCAAGGCCTGACATACCTGTCCAATTACATTATCCTTCATTTATTTCTTTCCCTCAAAGTACAAAATTTTATTTTAGCTTAGTGGTGGGGAAAGCCTGTCAGGCTCTCACTGTCAGCTTCCAATTTGGCTAAATTTCTGATTGTAAGTTACTAAATCCTTTCAAATATCTTGTCAGGTTTCAGCTGAGATGAACAGTAAATATTTCTAGCAGTATTAAACAACTCCATTAATTCTTCGTTTTAGTTTCCTCTTGGCTGCTTAAGGGAATAATGTAGCAGTTTACCAGAAAATCTCTCATTGTCTTGTTAACTCTGGAGGGACCCGTACAAGCCCTTCCTTTGAAGGTAGATATAAGGCTGTAAAGCCATTAACTGAGTGAACTTTTGTATAGTCTTTTAAGGTACCTCTCATATCTTTTTTTCATGAGCGTTTTTGCAATGAAACTTTCACTAAGGCTGTTTGGGAATTTGGAAGCCTTTGCTTTTAAGTGTCCTTCCTAAATGATCTTATCTAATTGGAACATTCCTTCTAATAACCGTTGTTATTTCCCCGAGGGTTGGTAGCAGTTTGGTAGCACCCTAGCCACGAATGTACCCTAACCCCCATTTCTGCCCAGCCGTATTTGGCCGCAAATGGGGTGCAACCCACATTTCTGTCTGTCCGTATTTTGGGCTCCCAACCTGACAGTTACCAAGCCAAGCTCTTAGGACAGGAAACAATCTCAGTAAGATTTTGCGGTTCTTCGTAAATATTTGTAGCTTCTGGGGCCATAGTTTTTAAGCAGGTATGCCAGAAGGGGGTGCATTTCATTCCTCAGGAATTAAAGATTGAATTCAATTTGTCTGGTCCTCAGTTCTCAAATCTAGTGTCCAAAAAGACCAGTTTTGTAAAGTGAGAAGAGCCCCAAAGTGCCCACTGTAATTTTAAGTCATCTTTGGCCTTATGGGTCCACTGAGATAGACATTTCCTTCCAAGAGGGAGGGCCATAATTCTTAAACGTAAAACCTGCTGGAGTTCCTGAGGGAGGAAGTTCTCGGGGAAACATTAGAAAATGAAAGTCCCATGGTAAAGAAAATCACCCATGGGGCCAGCCCCATGGTGCAGCGGCTAAGTGCGCACGTTCTGCTTCAGCAGTCCGGGATTGCCAGTTTGGATTCTGGGTGCGGACATGGCACTTCTTGGCAAGCCATGCTGTGGCAGGCATCCCACATATAAAGTAGAGGAAGATGGGCTTGGATGTTAGCTCAGGGCCAGTCTTCCTTAAAAAAAGAAAGAAAGAAAGAAAATCACCCACCTAGCATGACAATAGCATTTTTTTTGTATGCACATTAACAGGGTTAGCTAAGCCCTGGTCTCTTCAAACCAAACTAATACCTAAGAGGGATGTGCCTGCGGTTGGGGACTGTGTGATGGTTTTACAGTGTATCTCCTTGCATGGCAGTTTTCTTGAGGTTGACAAGCGATCTAGTGTCAATGGAACCCATTCTCGTCTAAGCTTTTCCATGACCAACTCATCCTATCACAGGAGACTTCTTGAGGTCTTGAGCACCCTAATGGCTCTTAAATGCCCCACCCATGCCCATCAGTTTTATGGCCTTGGCTTCACAGATGTCCCTTAGCAGTAGCTTTTACCTCATGTGCATATTAACCCACAGCAGAGTTTGTCTAAGCAGAAATTTCTACCAAGAGATTCCCCTCAGCAACAGCCCTGTAGGTCGAGTAACCAGGGAATCCCCTGCCTGCTTGAGAGAAACCTCACCTGCGAGCATGAAAGCCGCCGCACCGATCCAAAGGAGGGCACTGGCTTCAACCAGAGGGAGGGACGTCTGAGCCGAAGAGGCCCCCCCCCCGCCGCCCCCCGATCAGAGGAGTCAGCTGTCCGCGCAAGCGGCTGAGCACACAAAGGGTTCATGTTGGATATGATCCTGTTTCCGGGGGACACTGGTCCTCAAAGGTGAGATCGCTTCAGGTCCTGCTTTCTGACCCCATATGTCAACCTACAAAAACAGAAACCAGTGTAAGAGGCAAAATGTTTATTTGGAATCAAAGAATTGCAATTCAAGGAGCACAGATTCAGGTACAAATGCATATAATGTCCCACTAGGAAGTAAAAGTCAGGGGCTTTTAAAGGCAAAGAGGGGAGGTTTATTACAAAGACTTCATTGCAGCTGGAGGCAGAGAGCTAGACTTGCTAAACATTGACTGTTGATTCGACCTTCAGAGAGTCGTAATCCTCAGTCCTTGTGACCAGGATGTCCGTTCTCCTGCTGACTTCTCGAACAGTTGCTTATAAAACAGTTGCCGTTTTGGCTCAGTCCAAGGTTCGAGATAGCAAGGCAGTTTTTCTGGAAAGGCAGCTCTGACTCCATTTTAAAATGGCACCGCTATAGTCAGTTTTGACACTGTTGAAAAGCTCCTAATAATTAATATGGTGAGAAGCACTGGGAGAAGTATGTCTAGAATGCTCTGGAACCACCAAGGAATTAGACACTCAGGCCTGGAGAGCATTCCGAAGGCTGGGAATGCTTCACAGAAGAGGTTCTGTTTAAACAGCTTTCTTTACCTTTCCGTACACATTCACATCACCCTATTAGGCAAAAATGTTTTAATTGAAAATGTTTTGATCAAGTTATATGGATCAGTAACTTCTTCCACCATTGATTTAATATGGTATCAAATATGCCTTGAATTGTTCATCTTAGAAATAGCTAAAATGTGTATTTATAGAGTAAGAAGGAATTTAAATTTAATCAGCTCAGTCTCCACCAGCTCCTTTTCGTTCTGTTTGAATTCTTTTTTTTTTTTTTTTTGAGGAAGATTAGCCCTGAGCTAACTGCTGCCAATCCTCCTCTTTTTGCTGAGGAAGACTGGCCCTGAGCTAACATCCATGCCCATCTTCTTCCACTTTATATGTGGGACGCCTGCCACAGCATGGCTTCCAAGCAGTGCCATGTCCGCACCCGGGATCCAAACTGGTGAACCCGGGGCCACCGAAGCAGAAAGTGGGAACTTAACCACTACGCCACCGTGCCAGCCCCCTGTTTGAATTCTTTGATGGAGCTTACAGATAGTTCATTCCATTTTTTACTATAATAACAGAAAGATCCTGCCGGTGAGCCAAAATCTGCCTTTCTTTCTCTTTTTCTCAGTAATTTTAGTTTTAAATTCCAAAAATTTTGTCCCAGTCTGTGGCTTATCCTTTCATTTTCCTTTTGACAGGGAATTTGTTTTTTATTATTAACTCAATCCATTTGATGTATTTCACAAGGTGCAATTCTTTTTTTCATTCAGGAGTGAAAGAAGTTAGAAATTTAAACTTTAAAAAAGTCAGCAAATGGCAAACAAATTTCCTTGAAAGTCACAGTCACATATAGAGTGCACCCTAGAATGGAGGAGGGACAAGTCAGGTTCCACCCACTTTCATCAAATAACGGACCTACTCAATGGTGCAGAGAAAAGGCAGCCTTCAAAAGGAGTGCGATGCTAGATGAGGCGTTTACTGTACTCCTTGAAGAGCACCGGCTAGGAACCTGTTTTCTAAACTCCATCTAGGAAGTGGAATATGGAATCAGTCTGTCCTCTTCCTCTTAAGGACTGTCTCCTGGCTAATGAACTGTTACAAAGACTAAATAAAAACAACCCCCCCCAAAAGAAACAAAAACCCACTAAGATGTCTCAGATTACTCATGAGCGCGGAAGAGCTTCAGCAATCTGAATTAATCTGTTACAGTCGTCACAAGCATGCGTTGCTTGTAAACAAACAGAAAAAATTTCTTGAAATGGAACAAAAGCTAGTACTAATCACTTTTCTGACAAACACAGTTACTCAAAATTAACTCGTATTGGGAGAGGGAAGGGGGCCCGTACCTGTGGACCTTGTCTCACATGAGTGCGAGTGGTAGGTGCAGGGCGTTTGTCATTGCAGTAGTCCCCACTTACTTGTGGTTTCGCTTTCCACCGTTTCATTACCCATTGCCAACCACGGTCTGAAACTGTTAAATGGAAAATTCTGGAAATAAACAATTCATAAGTTTTAAATTGCGCACCATTCTGAGTAGCGTGATGAAATGTGGAGCCACCTGCCCGTTGTTAGTCCTTTAGTAGCCGTCTTGGTTATCAGATCAACCGTCGTGGTATCGCAGTGCTTGTGTTCAAGTAGCCCTTTATTTTACTTAATAATGGCCCCAAAGCCAGGAGTAGTGATGCTGACAATTCGGATATGCCAGAGAGAAGCCGTAAAGTGCTTCCTTTAAGTGAAAAGGTGCAAGTTCTCTACTTAATAAGGAAAGAAAACATCATATGCTGAGGTTGCTAAGATGTATGGTAACTTTTTTTACAGTATATTTTATAATTGTTCTATTTTATTATTAGTTATTGTTGTTAATCTCTTAGTGTGCCTAGTTTATAAATTAAACGATCTTGGGTGTGTTTGTATAGGAAAAACCATAGTATATAGAGGGTTTGGTACTATCCACAGTTGCAGGCATCCACTGGGGGTCTTGCAAAGTATTCCCTGTGGATAAGGGGGGTGCTACTTTATTGCAAAAACAAATTTTAATTTTTAATCTTTAGTTTGATTTAGACATTGCTTGTAGTCTGATGCCGACACCAGCCGTGCAGAAAGGGCTCTGGAGAGACGTCCACCGGGCGCACACCTGCGCTCCTCCTCCGCTCTGGAGGCCGCAGAGCAGCCGATACCGCTTCATCAGACACACGTTTTAGTCCCTCTGTGAGTGCAGAGCACTCCACATGCTCGACAGCCTCCAGGCAGTCTGGTGGCTTCTCTTCATTCTTGGCAAGTTTCTCAGTAGTAGAGGAGTCATCTTTGGGACCAATTTGGGTCCCACAAGCGAGAAACGCTTGGCACAGTGGTGAGTTATCTCTGGTGGCTGCTTTTCTTTCGTGTTTTTGAATGAGGACAGACTGAACACTGACAAACAGTGGAAATACTTCTGTCTTTGGAAAACTCAGTGGTCATAATCTTCTTGCCCTGCAGTATCAAGAAGCCCAAGAGTCTGGCTCTCCACTGATCATAACTATGACTGCATAGTTGTTGAAGACAGTCGGTACGTCTTTGCGTGGAAATTTGTTGTGTAGGATATCAGGAGGCAGGTTTACCAACAGCACCATCTCCCACAGCAACATTATTACTTGTCTGTGTTACTGAGACAGTTTTGTATCCACCTTAAATATTTCAGGTTCGATGTTGACCTCAGCTCCTCCACCGGGGCATTTCTCTCCTTTCATTTTCTTAACTGTCTTTTAAAGAACAGAAAATTTTAATTTTGATGTAGTCCAATATATCAATTTGTTCTTTTATGGATTATGCTTTTGGTATTATGTCTAAGAAATCATTGCCTGACCCTCCGCTTTCTCCTAGAAGTTTTGTTGTTTTAGGTTTTACATTTAGGAATGGTCCATTTTGACTTAATTTTTGTCCATGGTGCAAGATATGAATCAAGTTCATTTTTTTGCAAGTGGATATCTAATTGTTCCAGTATCATTGTTGAAAATACTCTCCTTTCTTTACTGCATTGCCTTTTGCACCTTTGTCAACAGGTGTCAAAAACTGTAAACAACCTACATGGCCATCAGGAAGTGAATGGGTAAATGAATTGTATATCCATGCCATGGAATACCGTGCAGCAATAAAAAGAAATGAGCTATTGATACAAGCAGCAACCTGGATGCATCTCAGAATTACGCTGAGCAAAAGAAGTCAGAGTACATAGTGCATAATTTTAGAAACTCTGGAAAATGCAAACTGATCTATAGTTACAGAAAGCAGATCAATGTGTGGAAGGGGGGGATTACAATGGGGCAAACTTATAAATATATGCAGTTTATTATATTTCATATCTCAATAAAGCTGTTACAAATTAAATTCTAAAAAATTACATAGAATAACTCAGTGAACTTTTGATAGCCAGAAACTTTTTTCTTTTCCCACTCATTAATCTTTTCTTCATACTGTAACTCCATTTATTATTCCTATTAAAAAATGGTGTGTGGATCTGAACGTAGCATTCGGAAAATGTGATCATAGTAACTCACTTCAAGTGTACCTTCTGTTTCTTTATTCAGGTCGTTCTGGCCTGCCAGTTCCTACACGGCCTCTTAACCTTCCTTGGTACCATTGTTCAGCTACCTGCAGATCTACTTGTAATCATTTAACCCAAACTTCCCTAAATTGTCTACCAATATTTCATTAGTGGAAGTTGAAAAATGCGTCTGGATCAAGGTTATAGGGATCAAGGATATAAGGTTTAAAGGGAGAAGAGTGAAAAAGGAAATGAGCAGGGGCAGATAACATAGGGAGACAGTGTTAAGGAATTTAGATTTTAACCTAAGAGCAATACAGCGTCTTTGAAGAATTTTCTGTAAGCCATGTCAAAGTGATTTCACTTTTTATGGTGATAGGTTGCACTTACGTAAAAGGGCAGGCAATAATAAGGGGCTTTCTATCAGACCCTTCAGTATTTTAGTTAATGTATAGTTTTTGGGGTGGCAGAGTCAAAAGCCCTATTCTGCTATCTTAAATTTGTTCACGTGCTTTGTACATTATAGTTGCATCTTGTCAGCTGAAATAAAACCAGCAATTCAAAATTGAGACCTACCTGAATTTACTTGCTTCTAACTGTTTCTTGGGTTTATGAGAATGACAGCTTTATTTAGGCCTAAGAATTTAGCCTTCTGGAATTAAATGCAGGCCTCATCTATTCATGCTTGCTGTTTCTCAATATGAAATCTTGTAAAATAGCTTGTAAGAGCTTTGATATTTTTTCTTCCTTTCAAACCCGTAGTCAAGGTTCACTAAATTGGGATTAGTTATGATTCTCTGTGAAGGCACTGCTGATGCTTGATGACAGCAAGAACCCAGAAAGGAAAAGAGGTGGTTTATGAGCGGCAGCCAATTATCTGGCAACCAGAATGTTTTGTTGTTACAAAGAATCTATTGTAACAAGTCTCTGTCTTCATACAGCACCTGGCACTGTGTAACTGAGACCGAACATGGCGCATAACATGAAACTGGTAGATTACGTTGAGGCCAGTCCCTCAGGAGGTTAGTTAAACTCAGTCCTCCAGTATGATGGATTGGTGAATGTAGAAGCCTGTAAGTGGGTACCAGTTACTGAGGAAAACAAACGTAGTCAGCCCGTCCCTTGAACTGAACCCTGGGTTTGGGGATAGAGCAAAAGAAGGATAAGGAATATTGGCTTCAAAAAGTCACTTGTGAATACACAGTGATTTCACATCTGATCTAACCACACTGGCACAGATACATAGAATCTGCTGGATCATAGCATCCTGGGTCAGATCCAGTTTTAACTCTACCACAACATTATCTGGAATTTCTTGCAAGTGACTTAACTATTCTCAGGCTCTTATTTGCTCATATGAAAAAATGAGAGGATTAGACTGTTTTAAGACTTCTTTCTGTGATTCTTCAGTTGCATTATATTTGCTGAAAAAACATCTTGCAGTGAAACGTCTAGGTAAAAATGAAAGTAACTTGTTAAAATCATATCACATGTAAAACTGGAAGAAGTAGACTAGTATACTGAAGGATATTGTATTGGGTGCGGTCCCCAGGAAAAATCTTGCTTTCCGTGAGGCCTGGACCTTCCCAGTGTTACCTCTTTGATCATCAGATTGTCCTCTACATTAGTTGAAGCCTGTAGGCCTTAAATGGTAATGAGATGCTACACTTTGCTTCTGACCACTAGTTTGAATTTAGCTGACCATGTTTAATGTTTTAATTTTAAATGTATGATTGACTTTTAGTGATACGGTCGGAACAGATTGGAGGTTGACTTGTACGTGGCCCTGCTGCCCAGCCTCTGATTCCCCACCATTCCTGAGGAGCCATGGCTGTGCCCAGGACGCCCCTTAGAGCACTCTCTTGATTGCTCCCCGCTCCTCACCACACGCATCCTCCTCCTCCTTTCTCTCCCTTAGAGTATAGGACATGCATTCTAGGCCATGTTCTTGCTGTTACACATGTTGAAAATGACTGAGGAGGGTTGTCCCTTCCTTGAGCACATAGACAGTTGCTAAGTGTGGGATTTGTTTTAAATTAACGTTCTGCGGTCTGTTCTTCTGCCACCGTCAATCCGTCTGTGACCCCAGTGGTCTTTATCCCAAACATCGCAATGATCTGCCCGTGGTATCGGCCCTGACTCAGGTCCTCTTTCTCAGCTGCCTCTCTGATCCTCTTATCTCCCCATAGAAAGTCTAGGTATACCTTTGCCCACCTCTTGCCTAATGTTATCAGACTTTTAACAATGAGTGTAAAGAACTTAGTGCCTGGTACAAAGTAGTATGTTTGGTAAATGTTAGCAGTTTTTAATCTTTGGCTGCTTTTTATTAGATGAATCGTATGAAATTGCTGTTCTTATATGTAAAAAAAACTCATGTTGGCAATTCCATATGGTTCAACCTTATAGATGTATGGAGTGATGGCTCTTAACCAGAATGCAAATTAGAATTATCTAGGCAGCTTTTTATAAAAGATATATACACTGTCCCCGTCCTAGACCAGTGAATCAGGATCTTCATGCATGAGTCCTCGGTAAATGCACTTTGAAAAAGCTCCCCAGGTGGTTCTAATTCATACTCCTGCTTAAAAACACCTGAGGGGGGCCGGCCCCGTGGCTGAGTGGTTAAGTTTCACCAGTTCGAATCCTGGGTGCGGACATGGCACCACTCATCGGGCCATGCTGAGGCAGCATCCCACATGCCACAAGTAGAAGGACCCACAATTAAAAATATGCAACTATGTACTGGAGGGCTTTGGGAGAGAAAGGAAAAATAAACTCTTAAAAAAAACACCTGTGAAAGAATCTGCCCTTCAGGGTATTTTTCTTTTAATGTAAAAGTTCTTTTAGACCTGTATTTTTTTTTTTTTTTTGAGGAAGATTAGCCGTGAGCCAACATCTGCTGCCAATCCTCCTCTTTTTGCCGAGTAAGACT